CTCCCTTTTTCTACACCACCAGAACCAGAAATGCTTTGTGCGCCTCTTTTGCTGCTGTGGAGTCTGTGAATGCTCCCGAAAGCCGTTGTTAGATCTGTCCACCATCTCATGTCTTTGCTCCTAAATATTTTAATGTTTAAAGGGACAGCAGCAGCATTTCTGTGTCTTATTGCCAACGCCACAGATTCATTCCAAAAAGAATGACTGGCTTTTTTTTTTTTTTTTTTTAAGAAAGATTTTTAAAAAATAAATACATTTGGGGGTTTTTTCCCTTTGATTTCTGGTTTTTGAGTTTTTACAGTACACTAGGTCACATTTTCAAGCTCTTCCTTGCAACCACAAGAGTTAGAAACTTATTTTTTAATGAAAGCTGAGACTCTCATGTACAGTAACTCCGGTGTAGTTATGTTCCTGAAAAATGTGACTTTAAGTGAAATGATGTTAAGCGAATCCAATTTCCCCATAAGAATTAATGTAAATGGGGGGGTTAGGTTCAAGGGGAAATTTTTTTCACCAGACAAAAGACTATATTATATATATATATGTATACACAGTATAAGTTTTAAACAAACAATTTAATACTGTTCACAGCAATGCTGATTGTGAAGCTTGGTTGAGATGGTGAAGTCAGAGGGTGGAATATTTCCCAGGGAATGCCTTACTGCTAGATGATAAACTAGAACTCAGATGAGCCCCCAATGGTTAACACACTGTTGTTAATGTAGCCTCACACTCTACAAGGCAGCACGAATGGAGGGAGGGGAGACAGCATGGCAGGGGGAGACAGAGATACACACCCTGTGTGTGTGAGAGAGATGTGCATTGCCCCTTTAAGTCAGCTGGCCCCACTCTAAGTACATTGCCTTTTTAAGTAGATCAGGAAGTTGAGACAGCAACTGCCTGCAAACTCCCTCCATCCTGAGGCCCCCCCCCCCGCCCATAGAGATGGGGTAAGCAGATGGCAGGAGCACCTGATATTAGTCCCTCTCTCTCCCCTCCCTCACCCAGCCGCACAGCAAGCAGGAGGCTCCCGGGAGCAGCTCCAAGGCAGAGGGACGGAGAAGCACATGGTATAGGGTTACCATATTTAGCAAATAAAAAAAGAGGACCCTCCACGGGCCCTGGCCCCGCCCATTTCCCCAGCCCCACCCCAACTCCGCCCTAACTCCGCCCCCTCCTCCCTCCCACTCCCAGCCACGCGAAAAGGGCTGCCCGAGCGCTACCGGCTTCAGGGTTTGCCGGGCAGCCCCCAGACCCTGCGCCCCCGGCCGGCGCTTCCCCAGCGCAGCTGGAGCCCGGGAGGGGAAGCACCCAGCCGGGGGCGCAGGGTCTGGAGGCTGCTCGGCAAACCGTGAAGCCGGTAGCGCTTGGACTTCGGGCAGCCCCTATGCCTCCGGACCCTGCGCCCCCGGCCGGGCACTTCCCCTCCCGGGCTCCGGCGGCGCAGGGTCCGGAGGCATAGGGGCTGCCCGAAGTCCAAGCGCTACCGGCTTCACGGTTTGCCGAGCAGCCTCCAG